CTGCAGCACTTTTTGCAATAGACTACAGGGAAATAAACTAAATGACATCACAGAGATGGGCTAATAAATTATGGGATGGCCAAACTCTGAAATACTAGCAGCAGGCTGGTCTGCGTGTGGAGAGATCTTTTTTTTTCCTTCCCTTTTTTTTTTTGGCCATGCCACGTGGCTTGAGGGGATCTTAGTTCCCCAACCAGGGGTTGAACCCGGGCCCTCTGCAGTGAATGCACAAGTCCCAACCACTGGACCACCAGGGAATTCCCAAGGAGGTCCTTGATTTAATATTAAGTGAAGAAAAGCAAACTGCTAAACAAATGCCTACAATATAATTCCTTTTTTTTATATATAATGATAAATGGTCTAGAGCAGAGGTCAGCTTTCTGTAAAGGACCAGAGAGTAAACATTTTGGGCTTTGTGAACCGTAAGGTCACAACTATTCAACTATGCAAATGCAGCCCTAGACCATATGTAAGCAAACGAATGTAAATAACACTTTATTCACAAAACCAGGCGGGGGTAGAATTTGGCCCTGAGGCTACATACAGGCTGTAGTTACTGATTCCTGGTCCAGAAAGATAGGTACCAAAATAATGTCAAAACTATTGCCTCTGCGATAAAAGTGGGAGGGGGTGGAGGAGGATTCTTAGGGAAAAAGAGGACTGCAGGATCTGGTGGCAGACTCTCTGGACCCAAATCCTGACTCCAGGGTCCCTGGGCCCATTCATCAGCACCCACTCACCACCAGGAATCCCCAAGACAAGCCTGCCCTAGGGGTTTGAGGGACCAAGGGGGCTATTAACTCTATCTGCTATGGGTGAGGACCCTTCCTTTTTTGGGGGGGGGCTATGCCACGCGGCTTGTGGGATCTTAGTTTCCTGCCCAGGATCGAACCTGTCCCCGCCCCCGGCAGTGCTAATGTGAAGCCTCAACCACTGGACCGCCAGGGAATTCCCCCTTCCATAGTATGTTTACCTTCCATAGTATATTTATCCATTCTATCACAGTAAAAAAAAAACCACTTCTACAGTGCTTACTAAATGGCAAATGCTACTATAAGAACTTTCGATTATTAAGTCATTAACTCCATTTAAGCCTCATGACAACCACCTATCCACGTTTTAGATGAGGAAACTGAGGCACAGAGCAGTTAAGTGGGTTTGCTCAAGGTCACACAGCTCATCAGGGGTGGAGCCAGGACATTCAGATCCTCTGTCCAGAGATTGTACATCAGCATTACTTTTTTAGTCCTGCTGTGTGGTTCTGTTTCTTTAAATAGTGTGCCAGCCATTCTAATAAAGAATCCCATTTTTATACTGAAGAAAAGGCATGATTGAGTGGAAAAGAAGCTATTCTCTCTCTTTATGCTGAGACCACGAAACATCACCATTTAACTGGAGTGAATATAAAACAAAGTTAAACACATAAAATGATCCCGAATGACACACTCCCCACCGGATCACAAGTTCCATGGCAACAAGGATTGTGCCTTGATCAGGTAAAGGAAAATCACACAGACGGAGTCTGGACTAGAGAGGTGAAATTCCAAGTTTGAGTGCCAGCTGGGTATCCTCAGACAAGTCACTCAGGCTTTCTGAGCAGTAGCTTCTCCATTGGCAAAACAGACACATACACATGCCTTAGGGGTTGCAATAACCTTGCAATGGGATATATGCACATAAAGCACCCAAGAGACAGTGGATAAATGGGGTTACCAGCACAACTGGCCTTTCGTTTCCCTGTGGGCACAGCACAAATTCCTGCAGGATTGGTGGACTCTGTTTGTTTTGGCCAAAAAGCCCAAGCCTGCTTTGCTCACAGCCATGTGTTTGTCTCCTGCACAGGCTAATGGAAGGATTACAGCCACAGCTGGGACTAGGAAGGACTTCTGAGGCAAAACCCTGGAGGGCAGACCCGAGACACCACCAGAACCCTGGCACAGTCTGGGGATGGGAGGGAGTTTGCGGGGGCGGGGTTGGGGGGGAGACGGGTGGTCCAGGAGCAGGGACTAAACCCGGAGAACAAGTAAGTGCGAGTTACAGTTCATGGATTCCTGAGTATCCCAAGCCAGGACCCCAAATCCAGAGCCGGTGAGAGGGCCCATTTTAGAGGTGGGCAAGGTGAGGAGCCTGAAGGAGCCTGGAAAGGCATCCACCCATTCTCCCAGGTGCCCTGACCCAAGGAAGGCCAAAGCCATCCCCACCCACAGAAGGTGCTCAGTTGAGCCAACAGTCTGTGTTGAACTCAAGCTTCCTTAAACCGTTGTGCACTCTGCAATTCACCTTCGTCCTGGGGATGCCAGCTTCACGCATGGATCTGACCCCGTCAACATCTGAGTGGACCACCCCCAACAAACAGGACTTCATGGAATTTTCAATCACCACCCCCAACAAACAGGACTTCATGGAATTTTCAGTCAGCCTAGGGTACTGTTACCCAGTTTGACAATGAAGGCCCAGACCAAAGTTCAACAGAATTAGGGAGTGAGGTCCTGGCAGTGTGGGTCCCTCCAAAATAGTCCGGCAGTTGGACTGGTCACTGGGAGGTGGTGCAAGGTGGGAGGGGGCTTGGGGTTGTGTCCTTAGGGGAAAAGAGGAGCACTGCGGGATCTGGCGGCAGGCTCCCTGGGCTCAAATCCGGACACCAGGGTCGCTGGGCCCATTCATCAGCACCCACTCAGCGCCAGGAATCCCCGGTACAAGCCCTGCCCTAGGAGGACTGTCCCTTTAAGGCTCTGGTGGGCGGGCCCAGCCATTTTCAAGAGCTGACCCTGGCTGTTTTTCAACCTTCCAAACTCCAGGCCCAAACAGGAAGTGAGTCCCTGCATGAGATTGCCAGGCTCCCAGCCTTAAGGGGATATTCAAGGACGACCCTAGCTGCCCCCGGGGGAGGGGTGGGGGCCCAGGACTTTGCGGGGTGCATGGCTCTGCGGGTGAGGGAAAGCGATTCCAGCATCCGCTTGCATCACTGAATGGTGTGTCTGAAGGCAGTTCTCAAACTCAATCCAAGTTCGTCCAGTTGACCAGGTTATGCAGCTCACATGGGCATCCTCCAGTCCCTGGCCAGGCCCCCAAAACAAGAAATTGTTGCCTACAACCCCAGGAGGTAGTTAACCAGTGTCATCCCTATTTTGAATGAGGAAACTGAGGCTCAGGTTAAGGTAACCTGCTCAAGGTCCCAATCCTCTTGAATTTGAACCCGAGCTTCAGCTAGACAAGGAATGCTCACAAGTACATTCTAGACAGGGCAGATGCAGACAGATACGTGTTCAGCTCCTGGTTTGGGCACCCCCTTAACCTTTCAGTGCCTCTGTCTTCTCATATGTAAAATGGGGATCCCCTCATCCCATCAAATATGGTTAAGGATGTCCACTCGGTGACAGGCACAATGACAGTGAATAACACACATGACCTCCAGGAAAAGCAGACACAACGCAAAAGTAAACCAGTAAATAAAATCACGACAGGATTAGAAACAAGGGGCATAGAGGATAATGGGGGAGGGGAGGGTCCTATGAGATGACATGGAAGACGAACCAAAAAAAATAAAGTGACAGCCTTCTCAACAGTGGGTGAAAGGGCACCCCAGGGGGCAGACATAAATCAAAAGAATTCCAGTATTTGCACAACTTGGAGAAAATGTTCACAAGGAGAGGCCTCTGGGGAAGGTTCCAGTGCGGTGGCCCCCGAGCCCTGCGAAGTCGTGCTCAGGAAGAGAAACCCTCATCGCTGGCGCCCGCTGAGAGCACCAGATGGGGTGACAGCTGACCCCAGCCTCAGACGGGGCCACCTCGGCGCCCAGGGCCTGGAAATAACTCCCTCGGCCTTCAAGCACCTGCCCCTTGTCCCACCCCTGCCTGCCGTGAGCCTGTACCAGCGGTGACCCCGCTGGTCGCCTACCTAAGCCGGGACATCTGGAGGGGAGCCCACTATGTGGGGTCGCGGGCAGCCGCCAGGCGCGCAGAGCCAGCCGATTTAAAACGGGTTTCATTGAGCAGCTTAGTCTCCGGGACGTCATGTCCCAAGACGTCGAGTCCCAGGCGGCTCCGCGGAGCCCACCTGCCGCGCTCGTGCTGTCTTGGGTGGAGGCCCAGGCCTTCCCTTCGGGGCGGGTCCGTCATCCCGGTGCCTCTCCCCGACGACCTCGGCGGCCCCCTCCTCCCCCAGAGCGCCCTCCTCTGGCCTGGGTGCCTCAGCGTCCCCCACTGTCTGGCTCCCCTGGAGAAAGGGACAACGCTCTCTTGCTGCCCCGGTGCCAGGATTAGGAACTCGCTGCTCACCGTGAGGCGGGTATCCTTCCGTGTGAGGCGGGTATCCTTCCGTGTGAGGCGAGTATACTTCCGTGTGAGGCGGATATCCTTCCGTGGGAGGCGGATATCCTTCCGTGGGAGGCATCACACCATTTCATCCTCCCTTACAGACGGGGAGAGCAAGGCAGAGTGGCCAACACTTGCCCAGGTGGGTGGGTGACTATACCCACGAGGCTCCATGTCGTCCGAGCACAGTGGCCAGCGCAGCCCCAAGGGCTCCCCAGGAACCCGCTGCGCACCCAGCCCTGCACAGGGCAGTGGCCACAATGCCAGGCACCCAAGCTCCACTCTCCTCATCCGGAAAATGGAGCTGGCAGGTATCTTCACCCTTTTTCATTACAATATTCATTACTAATACAAGGTACAAGTGTGTACAGGCTGGCAAAGGAAGAGCTCCAACTTATTTTTTTATAAATTTATTTATAGCTGCATTGGGTCTTCGTTTCTGTGTGTGGGCTTTTCTCTAGTTGCAAGGAGCAAGGGCACTCTTCCTTGCACTGTGTGGGCTTCTCATTGCGGTGGCTTCTCTTGTCGTGGAACACGGGCTCTAGGCGCGCAGGCTCAATAGTTGTGGCTCATGGGCTCTATAGAGCGCAGGCTCAGTAGTTGTGGCGCACGGGCTTAGTTGCTCCACGGCACGTGGGATCTTCCTGGACCATAGATCAAACCCATGTCCCCCTGCATTGGCAGGCGGATTCTTAACCATTGCGCCACCAGGGAAGCCCTCCAACTTATTTTAACTGAAAACAAAAAGTGCAGTTGAGAGTGCATGTGACCCTTTTTGTATCGTTTTTCAGGAATACGTATATTTAAGTACATGTACAGAAATTCTTTCTAAAGTGCACCCAGTAACTCTTGACAAGGTAGGGAGACTGGGGGTCTGCATCCCACCCTGATTTCCTGCAACGGGGAACTGCTCCTTGAAACAGGATTCCAAGCTGAGTAAATGCAATGGCTGGCACGCTCTGGGACCAAGGTCCTTCATTTCCTGCTGTGCCCATCAGCCCCGGCCTTGGCCCAGCTTCCCTCAGGGGCAGAAGGCCGCTCAACCCCAGGCTCAACTCCACACACGAACCTTTCTGTACTATTTTCCCAAGTGCATGTGTTACCAATAAAATTTTTAAAATGTAGAGGTAACCAGGTAGTAGGACTTAGGACCCACTTTTATTTTTTAATTTGCCTTCTTTTAAAAACAGAAACCCTGTCCCCACCCCAGACCTTTGGATTCTGTATGTAGGTGGGGAGTCCAGGAATCTGTATTTTTAAACCTCTTCCAAGGTGACAGTCGCGCCAGGTGCAGGAGAGTCACCTCCTGGGGCAAGACTGCTGGGTCACTCCTGGTGAGTCATGATTCACAGCGCCCTGGGGCCTTGTGGGTGCAAACTTCCCCCTGCCACGCCCAGTAAAACAGCCTGCCCCAGAAGAATGTCCAGACTTCCTGAAGGCCTAAGGGACTGAAGGTGGCTGGGCAGGCAGTTAAGGGGAGCGGCGGGGTACAGGACCAGCTGCCCTCAGCCTCAGGGCTGGCCTGAGAGCCCGGTGCCACTGGCCACCTGCCCAATAAACAATCTGGAAAGGGCCAAAGCACCATTCCCCTCTGGATTCTCTGAAGAACCCACCAGAGGTCCTTGGACAGTTGTCTGTCACTAGAGGAGCTTGAAAAATGCTAGTGCCTGGGTCCTACCCCAAGGAGTCTCATCTAGTGTGTCTGGGGTACACCTGACCATGGCTGATTCTAATGTGCAGGTAAGTTGAGAACCACGGAATTGGAGAGGAGACGAAATAGCAAAAGGAGCTGGAGTCGAGCGTAGAACCCAGGAGAGATCCTTCTCACACTCTAAGGGGATTTTATCCAGCCAGGTGGACAATGGAGGTGACCATATTGAGCGGCTCCTGGGTGTGCTTCCCACTTGCAGCTGTCGTCCCAGGCATCTTCACCTCACCTCGGAGAGGAGACAGCGCTCACCTCACTGACCACCATACCCTGGTTCTTGACAGACTGTGAAGGTCCATAGGGAAAAAGAGGGACTTTTCATGAAAATCTAGAAAATTTCAAGCCACCTTTATCTACTCACTCATTCAAGAAATGTCCAAGTTCCTACACTTTGTGCCAGGCGCTGATATCCAGAGCTCCCAGGTTTTCAAACTGGGTGGGAAATCAGTGTAGTAGTTCACAGACAGCATACTATGTAGAGAAATAGCAAGAAATCATAAAGTCAAGTGCACCACACACAAAAAGGTAACAATTCTCTACAACTTGTTTCAGTTGTGGGGTGTGTGTGTGTGCATGTGTCCACACTAGGTCTTCAAGAGAAAGGTGTTTCTTTCTGTGGATCACAGTCCAAATGCTCAAACACTGAGATGGGCAAGAGACAAGCCTTAACGTACCAAATATAATTGTGTAAGCAAACACAGTTCTGTAGACATTTATGTTAACCCAAGAAGCCCCAAACAGCACATCAGAACTTCGTGGTAGTTAACAAACTTCTAGATACACCTTGAAATCAACACTGCCTTTGTGGTCGTGAGACTCACTGCAGAAGAGATGGGTGAAAAAAGCAATCAGCCTCCTCCATGATTTGATCAATGTTCTCCTCTCCCCCAGGAATTTCAGCCCAGCATCACCACCACCCCTAAGGAACAGATACCAATGGCCTGAGAATCCTTCCACAAATCCCAAAGGTATAGTGGCACATACCTTGGTGGACTTACGGGGGTCATCTGGATTAGCAGCCCACCGGGGACCGAGGGGCTGAAAGCACCCCAGGGAAACCAGTGGGGGCGGGCTGGCCCAGCATCCCCAGCCCTTCTTCCTCAGGCTGCACACCTGCTGAGCCTTCCTCACTGCTGCAGCTGGATAAAGCCTAGGACTCCTGGCACTCTCAATGACAGCTCCATGAACGATCGGAACCCTAAACACTTCAGGTAGCTCAAAGCACACACCCACCAGATCCGCAGCAGAGGACTACCCCAGCCCTACCAAGCGCCGCTGTGCTGCAACAAAGCACAACCGGGACCTGCACTGAACTCAGAGCGGACACGCCCACCCAGCACCCAGTCCCCTGGGTTCTGAAGGCCTGGCTCCCCAACTCGAGGATTAAGGACTCATAAAGGAAGGTCACCTGTACTTGCTGGCCTGTGGCATCCTAGGTAGGCGTTCAACTTCATTCTTGAAAGTAGGATCTCACGAACATGTAGACAAACTTTTGCCCTAAAAACTAATCATTACACAGACCGCAAGCTTCACCTTGTGCTTGGTACCTACCCCTCTGGTCTCAAACTGTCCCAGGACATGGTGAAATCAGCCCATTTTCAAGCCTGGAGCTTCCACGTTCCAGTCTCTCACATCACTCAAGTGTGTGATCCAGCACTAACTCCTACACAGGAGTCAACCAGCACAGCTGAGTGGCCACACGCATGAAGGACTTAGAAACCTACAGAAAATTGTTTGGAAGGTTACTCTCCAAAACTATCCAGTTTTTACCTTTGGAGAGGGCTGAAAAGCCTTTACGCTAATGTTTGACATTTTAATTTTCTTTATAAAAACGAATATGTTAATCTTTTCAATGGCACATTAAAAAAAAAAAAACTATCAGCCACATTCCAGAGTTAATAAGGGCTCCACTGATGGAAGATAGATTATAAATGCAGATGTAAATGTATCCACAGAATTCAAGTCACTAAGCTTCACATCATTTTTTTCTATTTCACAGATGATGAAACTGAGCCCAGAGAGGCAAACTTACCCAGGCTCCCACACCTAGTGAGTGGAGGGGTCAGCATTCAAATCCACATGATTTCAAGCAAAGGTTCCTCCTTCATACAAGGGGGCAAAAGGCAAATGGAAATCGTGAGATCATTTCTCTCTGCAAGTAGTACAGCTACCCAACACTGGCTAAGATGTAGGGGGAAAGGCACTCTTATAACCATGTTGATGGAAGTATTAGCCGATCCTCCTTCTTTATTAAATATTAAATATTAAAGTATATTAAATATTATATACATTATATATATATACAATATTATATGTATACAATATTAAAGTATATCAGTATTTTAATATTGAATTTTAATATGAAATTTAATATGAATTCCTTTGAACCAACAACTTTACCTGCAGAAATTTATCCCATAGGAACCTAAAAAAAACTTGAGTGTTCACTGTTACTAACTGGAAAAAACTGGGACCCACCATAAAGGCCCAGACATACCATGGAATTCTATTTAGTCACAAAATATCACCATATACATTCTCATGCAGAAAGACCTGCATATACTATAAGCTGCTGTGTGGCTGGATTTTTCCTGTTAAAAAAAATTTTTTTAAGCATTAACTCAACACAAATAAAATGAGGGGCCATCAGAAATTTGGAATAACATCAATGAAACTTCCCAGTTTTGCCGAGGGCCACAAAATTTGTGCTGGACTCTCACGGGCTACTCTGTGCTGGACTCCACAGAGAACATGCAGGGCCCATCACAGGAAGCAAAACCTTGTCAAGTGCATCAGTACAACACAGTGACCCCACTAAAACATCACACACCTCACAAACATTCCAGCGTGGGGTGTGGAAGCAAGACATACCAGGTGAGGTCATCTGAATTGATCAAAGTTGTAACAGCTTTCAAGGAGGGAGCAGGTACTATAACAACATCTGATCAGAATAACCTCCTAAACTTAACTAAATTAAACATATGAATCTTAAGTTTAAAATAAACAAGGGTTTCTTCTGGCGGAAGCTTTCACATAACTGCACTCCAAGAGTCCAGAACCTACCTATGAAAGATTCCCAACCTCCTAACTAGACACCTAACCAACCTAATGGATGAAGTGGCAGGTAGTAGCAAGCTATACAAAATAAAATGTAATGAGATTAATCTGCTAACAGTCACTATACCTCTCAAAAAGCTCAGGTAGTAATGGTGCCAAAAACTTACTGATCCACTCATAATCATTTTCTGAAATTAACTGTGCTGCCTGTGTCCCCAGCTAAAGGCCCATTTCCAAATCATCTCTTGGCATCTTTCACCTTCACTGCACTGAGGCTAGCTCACCCTCTTGGCCAGGCCTTGGCGACTCCCCTTACTGTTCAGCAAATTAGCCCAGCTTTCACTGCTGTAAGGCAACCTTAAGGCCCAAAAGCCACAGTAACTCAAGTTTAATGAGTTCCAGTAGCCCTTGGGAAAAATATTTTGGCTAGTTATTTTTTAAGCCTGAACTTCATCTGATTATGTCAAAGTTGTTCAGATGTGATGACCAAAACAAAACTGCAGACAAGCCCCATAGTTTTTTGGTTTTTTAAATTATTTATTCATTGAATGATTTAAGGTGTGTACCACTACTCCAGTTGGGTAAACCACAATGAAGAATTTGACTGCAGGTCTTTAGATTCAGCCAAATGCTTTCCATTAATTTTGTTCTATAAAATACCAAACATTATATACTTAAGTTTTTAATGCTTCAGCCATGCTCAGAACACTGCAGCTTAAGGATAACTCAACCCACTCATGCCAAGTTAGGGTAACAGGAACAGAACTCATAAGCTATGACGTCTAAAAGAATCAGAGAATCTAGCTTAAGATGAAAAGAGGTTCTGTTCCCCCAAAGTAAACTGTCAGCCTACACTGTTCTCAAGAGACTGAAGAAAAAAAAAAAAACCCAACATTAAAAAGTATCACACAAATATGCAATCTTCCATGATTTGTTTTGCATCTAAAATGGCACAAAGAAAGGCTGCAAAAATCTAGCAGTCAGAACTAAGTTTTCCTAAGAGAAATCATTTCCCTTTCTACTCCTAGGTCTTGGTTTATTCTGTGCTCGGGTGGCACAGGAGAGCAACGGGACGGAGATGGGGGGAAGAGTTACTGCTGGGTAACAGAGCATTTAGAATTAAATGCAATGGAAAAAACTAACAAATGCTAAAGTTTTCAAAAAGTTTAATGGAGCCAATAAGATATATAAATTGTGTTCTGGCAGACGTGAAGACCTGCTTTCTCTTACCAAAGAAAATGGCACATGTTTTATCAAAATTTGACAATCGAGAGTAAAGGGTATTGAGATTAAGCTTCAGAGCACCAACTAAAACAAAAACCACCAAAAAAAATTTTTTCTGTTGTTACTAACTTGGAAAGAGGAACTAGAACCAAGGCATAAAGGGGAGATTAAATATGTGTTCCTCAGCCTCAAAATCCTTTAGGAAGAGGAGTTCTGGCTGCTTGTGAGCAATGCTTCACACCACCAAACCCAATTCCAGAATCTAAATTTACAACGATAGAAAAACAAAGATAACTCCAGATTCATTTCTTGATATATTCCAAAGGGAAGCCTGAAAGTATTCATAATACATAGGCTCACCCGTTTCCGGTAAAATGATACATTGCTATAATTCTTCCTATCATATTCAAACAAAAAAAAATGATCCACTTTTGCAAAAATTTAGAAATGCCTCACTTTCATTCCTAGGTTTAGTATGGAATTGACTTTTTTTAAATAAGGGCTGTATCTATAGTGAATACAGAACTTCTTCAGTTCACACATTACATTCACATCCCACCCAGTCAATGAATATTATGGTTAACTTAGCAAAGTTTCTTCACAGAAAGATTATTAAATGGCTGAAGAAATTGCAAACTTTAACAAAGTGCTGTGAGTAATTACTGGAAAAACCCTTACACTGATTTGCAATGGTCTTTTAAGGATAAAAACAGAAAGTAACTGATACTGAGCTACAAGTTTGCAAGGAAACATTTTCACTGTCCTACTTGATACATTGATAATAATATGATAGAATAAATTACAGTACCTGGCAGGCTGACATCAGTTCTTCATCTAAAAAAAGACTACCATTCAGTTCAAGATATTAAAAATGAAGATGAAACATGCTCTAAAACATTGTAGGTACAAGAGGTCTTATATTTACTCAAAAGAGGAATCTATTGAGAACTTTTATTTAAGTCTACCTAACATCTAGAGAACCTCCATGCGATTCCATCTTTTCCAGAATGAGATTCCAAACTGCACTTTATAGGAGAGGGATTGGAGAGTTGGGTTTCACTATTTAAGGTGTGATCACATTATTAGCAGATAAAAGACCTTTATCTTCCTCCCATTCCAATGGAAACTGCACAAAGTAGAACATTCATGAAAAATGTTAAACAGAATATAACAGACTAGAATACCTACCCTCCCACCATCCATCTCGCTCTCACTAATACTGAACCAAAAAGGAAGCCCATAAAGTTCATGACCTCTCTACTTTAGGTCACCATGAATGCAGTCTACATGTTTACATTTACCATAAGGACAGTACCCTGCATGGGAAGTAGTACTTGTCTTAAAAATGAGTATTTCAATCCTACAAGGTTAATCTGGGGGCAATTTAATAATATTGCTACTTTTAGAGCACTAACACACACAAAGTGAATCCAATAAAGTTGTGTATTGATTCGATATTAAGTATTAATTGCATGACCATCATAGCACCTCTTTACATCACACAATCACCAGAATTAGAAACTGCTTTGAAAACTAAAAATAGGGCACAGTTCAATAATCAGAAGTTGCACACTGTTACTAGAGAGAAACCAGGTGCATGGTACAGTGCTGCTGCAAAAATGGAAGCCTGGCGATTTGACGAGGAAGCCAAATCACGTGTTTTAGACAATTTTAGGAACCTGGCAATACTGTTGAAGCAAAATACTCAACACACAGGAAATGGAGCCCCCCCCCCCCAAAAAAAAAGCGTTCTATAACCAAATAAACATCTGATACTTCCTTTCCCTTTGAGAATAAATACAGTTAAGGTCACTTTTAGCCTTGAAACGGATATATGTTTGCCTATGATGATCTTGCTAACGACTACACGATATCTGATGTCCTCTGCTAGGACTATAGTTTTAAGAAAGCCATAGTTACAAGAGGCATCTACTGTAAATACCTAGAACTTCCTTTTATGGCAACCACTATAGAATTCACTTGTCTTAAACAGTGAACAAGGGAAGATGGCCTCATGTTTCCTTTGCAATAATAGTATATGTTGAGGATCAAGTGGCTTTCAAGCAGCATGGTGGGTGTGAAAATGTTTGCAGTTTAGATCATTCTGTTGCGTTTATGGGTTGGTGAGTCTGTAATGACATCGCCACACTGGGCTGAGGTACGCTTTCTAGTTCCACCATTGTCCAAGTGGAGTGCCATTTCTTCTGATATGAAAGTGTTCAAATCGACATCATGGAGTCCATTTCTCCTTCGACTAGCATTCGATCCACTGCTTACATGTGTAGGAGAGCCTGGGGTACTCGAACGCACGCTTATACTAGCCATTGCACCACTAAGACCTAGGAAGAAGAAAAAAGGTTTTAGAGTTGCTCGATTATTTAACCCTCTTGAAAGCAACCCAACTTTACTTTCAACGTCGTCATAGTGTCAAAGGATGTCTGCCTATTTTCCTTGCAAGGGGGTCACCAGGCAGCAGTTTTTTCCTGGAAGAACGAATCATCTGGCTTTGACATAGGAGATGTTCACTGGTAATACTACCAATATTTACAATATCGGTTACTACCAATTACTGGAAGCTTATTATGCGGCAGGCACCATGCTAGGTGTACAACTCCATTATGAAATCCTGCCATCTACTCTACTAGGTACGGACTATAGGTAACTTAGAGCTGAGGAAGGAGGTGCTTGCTTTAAACAGGAGAAGATTTTGGTTATACAAAGTCACTGTTCCAATAGATCCCTGTGCTGTGTGTGTGTGCAACAGGGGAGCATGCAGTCACTTCCAGGCCTGAGTGGGCTTATTCTGACATTTCTATAGATA